AGTAGAGACGGGGTTTCACCATGTTGACCAGGATGGTCTCGATCTCTTGACCTCGTGATCCACCCGCCTCGGCCTCCCAAAGTGCTGGGATTACAGGCTTGAGCCACCGCGCCCGGCCAGATAGACATATTATTTAGAATGTGCCAGAGCAGCCTCTATGATGGGCTGTCTCCTTTGATTGTAATCTGCTTGCTGTAACACCCAAGTATGCAGAGCCAGGTTGGTCCCACCTGGAATCTGCACATAAAGTCTGGCCTCTGCCCAAGATTTACAGGACAGGTAAATCTTCCAGATTTTGAATTGAGAATATACAGAAAACCAACAGAAGACATTTTCTGTATTGTGAAATGTCAACATAGACACCTTAAATCTTTCCTTTGAGAGAGTGGCTATTTGAGCTTTTCAGATCTTCTCAAGTGACTTGTTGCAGGTATGTGAGAGACTCCAGGTATAAATAAAATCTGATGATAGAATCTGTAAGTATAAACAGGCATCTTAGGAGTGAGACATCAAGGCCACAAAGTATCCAGAGCCATTACCACAACTATACTTACCTGTAAAATGTGATACTGGTGTAGAGTATTCTTCTTATTTTTCTTACTTGAGAGCTAATTAATCAGGACCAGTGAATTAGGTTCTAGAGCTTCACCAGGGCAGTTTTATTTTCTATTTAGAATCAGCCCGAGTCTCTTCTGCCTGGCTTATTATTGGTCCATTAGCCAGAGTCACTGGAAACCCTCTCACAATCACCTAGGCATCTTTGAGACATTTGAAGATGTCCAGAGCAGAATTGTGTCAGGCTGATAAGTGGTTAATTCTGCTTCCATCTCAATATAAGAGAAATGAGTCATCCTGTGTTCCTCCCCTCATACAAGAGATATATTTGATTGGTACCCAGAAGAGAGTTTCTCCAGTTTCTTGGTACTTGACTGAAAAACAAGAGGGAGGTCCTGAGACTCAAACAGATAAATTAATAGCTTCCATTTCATATGACCATTAAAAAAAGTAGATGAAGCAGTCATGGTCTCTACCACCCAGAAACTTTTAGTCTAGACTGGCAACTGGATAAATGGTTGGAATTAAACATCATCATATGGTTGGTATAATAAACAGATGTGTCCAGAAACACTTGGGCTTTATTTGGATTACTTTCTTTATATTCTTGTGACTTCTGATGTCATTACCTGAAGGAATGTTTATGGACAGAAGGATTGGTATTTCTGTTTCTTTTACCTTGGTCAAATACACAGATATATTTTAATACAACTACCCTAGGAGCCTTAAAAAACTTGTTTAAATTGCTTATTAGTACATGTCATAAAATAGGAGATGTCTCGAAAAATATTAAAATTATGCAAACTCTGGGATTTAAGTTTCTCTTAAGTAAGCTTAGAAAAAACAGAACTGGAAGTACACTCAGTAGCACTGTAAACAAAATTCTACATAGGGTCCACTCCCTGGCTTAGTTCTGTTTGGATCCATCATTTTTGGAGGCCTTATTTAGGTTAGGTCCCACCCTGGAGTCTTGCCTCACAGAACTGATTAAAAGAGATTAGAGTTTTGGCTGGTGAACCCTGCTGCATTTCTAGAGCTGGTGCTTACAATTTTTTGAAACTAAAAAACAGGTAAATGAAAAAAATAAAGTATCCCTTTCAGGATTCTAATTTTTTAATTTTTTTAAAACCAGTGCTTGCAGAGACATTCCATTTAGCAACTTGTTTCCTATTCCTGCAGATCCAATAGTTTCTCCACAAGTCACAAACAAGTAAATATAAACGAAATTAGAATAAAAAAAAAATTGGAAAAGGTCAGAGGTAAAGCAGTCATGGCGGCGCTGTGTCTGACCCGTGCTGTGGCTGCCGAGAGACATTTTCCGCGAATGTTTCTCTTCTTTAGGCCCTTTCGGGGCGTAGGGACTGACAGCGGATCCGAAAGTGGGAGCTCCGATGCCACGGAGCCTAAGACGCGCCTAGGCAGCTTCGCAAGCACCTTGGAGCGGCACTCGGATGTACCGCAGAAGGTGGAGCCCAGGCGGGGCTCTCCAAAAAATGTAGAATCCTTTGCATCTATGCTGAGACATTCTCCTCTTATACAAATGGGACCTGCTAAGGATAAACTGGTCATTGGACGGATCTTTCATATCATGGAGAATGATCTTTACATAGATTTTGGTGGAAAATTTCATTGTGTATGTAAAAGACCAGAAGTGGATGGAGAGAAATATCAGCAAGGAACCAAGGTCCACTTGCGGCTCTTAGATCTGGAACTTACATCTAGGTTCCTGGGAGGAACAACAGATACAACTATACTAGAGGCTGATGCAGTTCTCTTAGGACTCCTGGAGAGTAAAGACTCCAAATCAAAAGAGGAACATCATGAAAAATAAATGAACTTTGCCCAGTGGATTCACTCTTTTGATGAAGTCAGATATTCATCAAGAATGCAATTAGAAAATTGTGAATAAATGATTGAATGAAGATATAATAAATAAAAGCTATAATTATTTAAAAAAAAAAATTGGCCAGGTGCAGTGACTCACACCTATAATCCCAGTACTTTGGGAGGCTGAGGTGGGCAGATCACAAGGTCAAGAGACTGAGACCATTCTGGCCAACATATGAAATCCTGTCTGTAATAAAAATGCTGGTTGTGGTGGTGCATACCTGTAGTCCCAGCTACCTGGGAGGCTGAGGCAGAATTGCTTGAACCTGGGAGGCAGAGGTTGCAGTGAGCCGAGGTCACACCACTGCACTCCAGCCTGGTGACAGAGCAAGACTTCATCCCCCACCCCCAAAAAAGAATTTTTAAAAAAATTGTAATAAACCCTTCTGTATTCCTCTCATCTGTCTATATTTAGCTTTTATTCTATACATTTTTAAAAATCAGTGACAGAGAAACAGAAGAAGAAATAAAAACGCTGGGCTTTTATCTAAATCCTAAGAGTACTTATTACTAACTCCCAGGGTGTTATGAGCATTAAATATATAATGTGTTATTCCCAGCACAGTACTCTGTAACATACTCTTGAGCACATAGTATCTACTGAGTAAACATTGCATAGTGCAAGTGTACATACCAGGCACTACCATAAACACACTGGGCACCACCCTTTCCAGTACCAGAAATGCGACCCAGCATTTTTCAGGTTGGAACACCTCGCCTTACACATATGACTCACACTGTCTTCCCAATGAAGGAAAAAGTTCAGCCAGAAAGCACTGCAATAATGGTCAAGTACAAACTGAGTTAATTTTTGAGTGTAAAATCAGGAAAAGGAAGAATCAAAAAAACAAAAATCAAAGAACAGATGGGATCTGTGACTGGATCTTGTATCATTCCAATTCTAGATCTGACTTAAATATTCTTGGACTTATAAAATATCAAGGGGGTGACTGGAAGTTGTGGATATCTGGGTATAAATTATATATGTGAGTTTGGGAAGGGAAGACCAGAATTCCCTTGAATTGTGTATTGATATGATAGAAGATGAGGAAGAAATTCAGGTACAGGAAACATGTTTAAATAGCCTAAATGATGTTGCTTGGTCAGTCTTGGTTCTAAAGGTATCAAACAAGGAAGCAAAAGTTTTCAGACTGCTGCATACTTTGACAAGGAAAATCTATATCTGTCTTCTGACCTACATTTATGACCTGTCAAGTAACTTCTTTAGCGTTTTTATGCAGACAGTCTGTTATGCTCTGTGGTTTCAGATGTGCAATAATTTGTACAATCGTTTATTCTTAAGTATGCCTTGAGCAGAACAAATTTTTTTTTATAGAGTTCCTTGTCTTAATAAATATGTAATATAAATTTAAGCAAATATCTATTTTGTATATTTGTAAACTACAAAGTAATATGAACATTTTGTGGAGTTTGTATTTTGCATAATCAAGGTGAGAATTAAGTTTTAAATAAACCTATAATTTTTCTGAAAAAAAAAAAAGCTGACAGATTTTCACGATAGAGTTAATCATTTTTCTCTTCATTATTAAGTATCTCTATGCAGCTGATATACACCAATAATCACATTTAATCTGGCACCTACCTTTCTTAGATTTTATTTGCATATGTCTTTGAAAAATTAGGGCTCTTATCTTTGTTTACAGGCCAGAAAAACTGGGGAAAACACAGGCTCCTTCACTAGCTGAATGTTTGACAAAAGGTTCTTTTTGGGCGAAAAACAGGCATTACAGTGAGTTTGTCAGAAATTCTGAAACTCAGACTTTATTCTAGATGTTTTTAAATAAATATGCATAACAATATCTCCAGTTAATTGTACACATTAAAATTTGAGAGTTGTCTTCTAATTCAATATGCCTTTTTGATCTGAAAAATATACAAGACTTATTCTGATTATATAAATCTAGCAGTCGGCACCAATATGGCCATAAGAAGGCAACACCGGAATGCAGCTCCCAGTGAATGAGACACAGGGCTAGAAGACTTCATGATTCCAAATAAGGTGCTGGGTTCATTTCAGTGGGACTGATAGGGCACTGAAAATAGCCCAGGGAAGAAACTGCAGGGAGAAAGCTGTCCAGGGGGGCAAATCAAGACATGGGGGGCGCGTCCCTACCTGAAACGTGCAGCCAGCTCAGCGGGTCAGGGGACTTCACCCCCTCAGTGCTCCTATTCAGATCCTATGCTTACCCCATTCCTCCTACAACTCACGGTCCACGAGAGCCCTACCAGACTGTGGGGCACTGTGGGTTGCCAATGCAAATTTGAGCAGCAGCTTCTGCTGGGTGTGGTAAGTTGTCACATGGACCTGGGTGGGAGTTTGGACTATTGCCAGTGGAACAGACTGTCCCACAGAGGGAGGCAGAGTTGAAAGCATGAAAACAGATCATAAGGCCTGGCAGGCCCCACCTCCCCAGAACTTAAACTAAAGCCCTTGCTAGAGAGCTTGGCAGCAAATACACTAGTTTGACCCCAACCAGGAAGATCAAGCTCTGGGAGAGATGCCATTGGGAAGGCGGGGCCGATCTCACCTGCAAACAAAATCCAGGAAAGGACCACCCACCCAACAACCTGACTCAACTCGAGAGCCTAGCAACGCCCTCTACAGGCCAAAAAAGATATAGCTCCAACCTCAACAGAAAAAACATCCACTCAGAGACTCCTCATAAAATCACCAACTTCAAAGATCAAAGGGAGATAAATCCATGAAGATGGGAAAAAAGCAGTGCAAAAAGGATGAAACCATCAAAGGACAGAATGCCTCTTCTCCTTCCAGAGATCACAACTCCTCACCATCAAGGGAACAAAAAAGACAGAAGTAATTTTGATGAATTGATAGAAGTAGGCTTCAGAAGGTAGGTAATAACAAATTTCTCTGAGTTAAAAGATTATGTTCTAACCCAGTGCAAAGAAACTAAGAACTTTGAAAAAAAGGTTAGATGAAATGCTAACTAGAATAACCAGCTTAGAGAAGAACATAAACAACTTGATGGAGCTGAAAAACACAGCATGAGCACTTGTGTTGAAAGCAAGTTTCAATAGGCAAAT